ATGGTTAATGAAGTCAGGGTTATTTTTTATATCCGTGTGTAAAAAAGAAGTTACTGTTTTCCTACAGCACTATAATGTACATTTGCTAACAATTAATAGGCCAGTGTACAACTTAAACAATCGAAAACTTTTCCTTATGTTCTGAAGACTTCTACAGACGTGTAGGGCGATTTACAAACAATGTCCGTAAACAATTTACTTATGAAAATATAAAAAAATATTTAACAACATGTGAACTGTCTGAGAGAATTATTATGATGTGTATTTAAATAATCTTGATAGGAGGCATAATATACACTTTGTTCATTCAGCTGATAGACTGAAGTAAAACCGAAATGAGAAAACAAAACAGAAATGGTTAGACATACAATAGTAAAACATTCCAATAGATTATGACCACTTACCATCTTGTAAACAAATCACGTGTAAAGTTATACATTCAAGAATTGGGAGGAGGAGGGGAAGTGAATGCATTAGCATATGCATAATCACTTTAGCACTGGCGCAAAATCAGTAACTTTCAAGGGTTGATTTGTAAGGATTTGATAAGTCGTGACAAGTGAGGTGCATCCAATTGAGAGTAGGAATGGATTTCCAACCGATAACCTTGGATGTTGGTGGCGCTAAACACCACGAATTGATAGAAGCTAGAATTCATGCGCTATTGAATCAGGTCCCAGTGGCTGAATGGTATACGAGTTTGCTGGCCTTGTAACCAGAAGGTCCTGGTTTCGAATCCTGGTAGTGGATGCGTACTACCAGTGATTCTGAAACTAGGATGAAACAGCTGTCCAGTACTCCTAGGCTGGTTTTCAATGGTTCTTTAACTGATATCAATCCGTGGTCAAATTCGAAAAATCAGTTACTATCTCTGTTTTCAAATACTGGTTTCCACAGATCTGGATGTGTTCAAGCTTGTTCACAAGCTGACTTCAGTTGAAGAACTACTGGAAACATTGGAGCATTGGACAGGTGTTTCGTCCTTGTTTTTGACTCTTCAACTGTAATCATTTATGACAATTATAGGCATAGAATCCAAGACCTTTATCTCACAAGGGCAACTCGTTGAACATTGAGTCACCAGAACGGAATCCAAACTGCCATCAAGTATAACTTCTAATAGTTTACAATATATAGCTTGACCTCCAGCCATGTCGTCGGCGAATATTTATATACACACCCAGCTTGATAGATCTCTCTGCTTAGGACTTTGTGATCAATCTTGAAATCTCCACTACTGAAATGAAATATGTAGTGTTGCGTACCACATACGCATACGTATTAGCCATCAGTGAGTTACCGGTTATATTTCATACGATTTAATCCTACTTCCGATTACTTATTTCGTAAATTTCAATGATAAATATGTAGGGCACCTCCATGGCACCAAACAAAACCAGAATGAATGGAGGAAACTGAATACACTTGTAGCCTGTCTGAGGATGCTGTAGGTATTTTAAGTTTTATACTAGAGGGTACACGCTTCTCCTTTGTGCTGGTAATACGTACATCTGCAGAGTTTATAGATCAACCATAGTAGCCAGATAATTTCAAAAATTCTTCCCAAAAAGAAACGTAAACACTTTATTCTGTTTAAATATATTATCAAGCGTTGGTTGTGTAGGGAAAATTTTTGTTTTGATTAGTTGGATTTCACCATTCCTCGGGTCCCAGTAACTTTATGGTCTACGCGTTCGCTAGCCTTATAAGCAGGAGGACCTGTGTTCGAACCCTGGTAGGTGCGTACTGATGAAGAGTCCCAAGACTAGGACGAAACAGCTGGTTTCCCAATGGTTCTCTAACTGATGTCAGCTCATGATGAAAATCCTCCAAACAATCAAATATTTTTTCTCATAAGACGATATTTCTAAACAACTGAATTTCTTTTTATTTTATTTTCATCTCGTTATCAGTACTTTCATCAGGTTAGGTAGTGTACTAGTTAAGTGGATAATTAGACATAGTGAGTTTAGTAAGGCTGGTAATAGTGTAATATATCAGAAAAACAATCACTTCCTTGCAAATACCTTCCATCATAATATTGTAACTAAGTGTTTAATTATGGGACAATAAAGTGTAATTTATTCATTTGAAGGCTTTGTAAGGAATCGACAAAGTTTGCTTTCTTAATTAAAAAAAGCTTTATACTTTTCATACGTGGTGTTAAGCATATCATCTTATTATTAACGTGTAGAATAAAAATTTGTGATACAGAACTTCACTAGTGCACAGATTGGTATTATCTGAATGTTTGTGATATACCCTTCATCGTGCCTGAACTTGCATCTGTGAGTTTAATTCAATGCAGTGATAAATATAAGCTGCTAAAGTATACAGCTGATGGTTATATCTACTGATTTTACCTTATGTTCTTAGCCATATGAGTAGAAATAACACATAATTAACAATCGTTTTTACCAATATGAACTTTCTTCTGAAAATGACTGCCCAATTAACCTATCAGCACCAGTAAGTACCAGCTGAGGGCGACCATACCAATGACCTTGAAACGCCTAGTAGGCAAGTTTGCCCATCCTGGTAAATAATGCCGTTATTATGAATAAAATATGCTTAATGAGGTTTTCAGTTAATGTATGGATTATCTGTAAAGTTTCAGGTTAGGTCTGGGAAAGATTAAGGTAAGGTTTAGTCTGAAGACAGGTTAGGATTAGGTTAACCTATTGAGGGTAACATTAGGGTTGGTTCCAGTTAGATAAGCGGGGGGGGTATTTTCAGGCCAGGGTTAGGTTAAGGAAAGATTAGGGTACTTGTTAGGGTTGAAAGACCTAGATAATTACATGCATAGAACGTGATTAAACTACTCCGTTCACACTCCAACCCATAAGTAAGAGAGGTATTTTTGTCACATGTCAAAGAAGGGTATCCTGTGTAATATTTTCATGCCTTTTAATTCATTATTTTCATGAATATGTGTATTCTGTACACGAAAATCACCTTTATCAAGGTCAAGGTCACTCGTTCGTTAATATTTACTGGTGCTTAAAGTTTAACTTCTCCAAAATGAGTTATATCTTTAAATTTAATGGTGTATAAAAGGGCTACCTTAGGCTATACTAAGAATCAGATTTAAGACTCAAATACATCTTGTTTGTGCTTAGTGAAGATCATAAACCACAGAATACTCGTCAGTGACTGAATATACGATGGATTTCTGATAAGAAGTTGTAACCACTAAAATTCACTGAATCAGCTGTGAGTACAAATACTCAGTAATAAAACTAGCTAGTTACGGTGTTATACATAGCAAATTCACAGAAATTAGAATTCCTAGGCCACCGAATTCCATCTCAGTGACTAAAAAGTCAGTAGACTCACATTTTTGAACCTGAATGTTCCAGGGTTCGACTCCAGTGGGGCCATGAGCACGTAATTACAGAAGAGTCCCAAACTAGGAAGAAACAGTTGTTTAGCGTTCCCTAAACTAAAGTAAGTTTCATGAAATGGCCCGAAATCAACACTTGAAAGCATAACAAGTTTCCAGGGATCTGATTTTGAGGTTTGCGGTTTTCGCGTTTAAAAAAAAACATTTGACAGTTTATTATTTCAAACAAGAACACTGGAATGCGATTGTCACAAAGACGAAAGAAACTAAGAGAAATAAAAACACTGTTGGATACAAGATGAAGTGCTGAACTCAGAAGAACTTATTTTCATGTTAAACATGGTGGAAATTAGATCTTTTAAAATATACACTCCATTATGCAATATTTATCTGAAGTACACTAAAGGATTTTTATAGATAGAGATCAAGCTTCTCCCAAATTAATGGCAATGATTTTTTAAAATGTGATGAAAGTTACTATCATCTCGATAGCTGCTTTACAATTCCCATTGTAAAAGCAAAACACTGATCTTATGCATAATGTCATATACACAAATAGATGATAAACTGTTTTCTGATGACAGTTAAGATCTAATATCTATATGGAATAAAACCTGAACTCATCTGTATTATAAAAATCGTATTGCTGTTGTCACTAGTAATAAAGAGATGTACTACTCACTTCCAACATTTTGATTCAGTAAAGAAGGCCTTAGTGTTTTTATTAGACTAAACATAAGGCTTGACAACTGTTATGCAATTTAATGTTGTGTTTTTTCTGCAATTGTCAATAAATCCTTTTCTCAAGTATTTTGAAGACTGATACTTTTTCTGTCTGTAAGCATAACTTACCCCATACTTTTCAACTTTCAAACTGTCTGATGACATGATGAGACTAAGATTTTAATAAGTTTGTTATAGAAAATTCAATCCCTAACTATTATTTCACATTTATGCATATTTGTGATTTTTGTTTAAGAGAACTGGATAGATTTGATCAGCTTTATTCTAGTCTGTAGGCTCCTTAAATGAATGCCTCAACACTACCAGGACCTTTTTTTAATTTCTTTGTATTCCGAATGGTACACACAGCTTCAAGTTCTAAAGTTCCAATATCGTTGGCGTGTCTACTACGGCGAGGGGTTGTTAGCCTTATGTACATTCCTCCTTTTTTTTTACAGGAGTTACTGCCGACTGACTAGTTTGGGTTTAAGACTGAGTTGTATCCCGAGAATCGAACCTTGGGCCTTTTGCATAGTTGGAGAGGGTTCTACCATTGAACCACAGACGCACATTACTAGGGTTGACAGATCGAAGTGATTTGTTTAATAGTACGCAACAGCAGAATCTTGGATGTGCTTCTCGACCCCATCTAGGACTTGTCAGTTGGATGTACCTGCCCCCTAAATGAGTTTTGATGTCCTTACTAACACGCATAAACTGATTATACCACCGGACACTAATACCGACTGTTCATGTGTTCTAGTAAAAAGACCTCTGGACTACATAAATGTCTTTCTATGCTTACTCAGATCAAGATTTGACAGAATACTTTCACAACCATGTGAACACCGAGTTAAGTACCCTTCACTGAAAAGAAAAAAACCGAATTATTATTATATTATCGTCATCATTATTATTCTGATCAATTGTTTTCCACTTTTCCTCTTAATGTATATATATGTATATCATACATTATTATCATGAATAATAAATAAAACTTGTAATCTGTGCAATAAAATTAAGAATATGAAACTTCTGAAAAATCGAAAGAGAAATAAATTAAACAAGAAAAACAAAGAAACAAACAGAAAAAATTGATGGTTTCAATTTTCAGCATATTTCTTCCAGTTATGAATGTGTATTTGTCTGTGTGTGTGTAGGGGGGGGGCTGGGTGCGTGGGGAGTGGATGGGACCATAACCGTTTATCATTAAACTTGGATGCCTTATTATTATTATTATTATTATTACCGTTATTATTGCAAGCAAATACAAGTAAAAATATCTAAAGGACACGGTGTTTTCACTGTTCTCTCTGTCGAAAGGTATTCAATTTCTGTTTAATCAAAAGTTTTTAAAACAAAATAAAGTAAAAAAAAACACACAAAAAGAAACAAATAAAAGGGGAAGAGGTAAACTGTCATTTATATCATTGGATAAACTGAACGAAGATAAGAGAAACGTATGAGAATACTGACGAAGCAACACAACATTATATAAACTGTCTTCTTCGTAGATTGTAAAGGATAGATGAGATTTCTTTAAATTCTGTCTCTTATTTTGGTCACCTGTTAACCAGTAGCTGAGGGAAATAGACAAATCAGGGAGGAACTGATTCCTAAAAGTGATTTTTTTTTTAAAACAATCGAGGACGAGAGGGGAGAATAAGAAGACCAAACAAGAGGAGAATATAAACGAGAAACACAAATGAAAGTCAAATGGATGGAGTGTACTTTACGGTGTGTGTTATACGAGTGTGTGTGTGTGTGTGCATGTGTGTATGTGTGTATGTTACGCCGGGATGTGAAAATAACCAAAAGACTCATCAGTATTATCAGTACTACTATTACTACTGAATAACTTAACTTTTAACCCCGACAACTAATTATCATTATATCAGCATTATAAGTTAGAATCTTCTTTTTTTAACGATAGGTACTCATATCAGAATAACAAAATAGCGGCTGGGTAATGAAGCAATCAATGCTACATATATATATGTATATAATGTAATGTAATTTGTACACCGGAAACGACACTTCAGGGGAATAAGTCGATAACAAAAAAAGTTGATTTCCTTTATAATAGTAAAAAATCAGTATATATAAGTAGTATATATGTATATCATGAAATTTTGAAGCTGAACTTTATTAATTAAATCAAGTAACTTGTAGTATGTCAAAGTTATTATTCTTTCTGTTATTATTATTACTATTATTATTATTATTATTTGTATTAGAACGAATAAGTGGATTAGACGGAGAAGTTGTATAACAATCATTCATCTGAGAATAATACGTTTCTGTTAACCGTCTTCCACACTCATGTATTTCCATACTTTGTTGTTGTTCTTCATCATTTAGTCTATTGTGTAAATCTTCATTGCTTGATTTAAGTGCATATGATGAAAAGGCGTAGTTTGATACAAACGGTGTAATGACTGACTCTTTAACTTTAGTTTTTGTCAATACAGTTATATCATCACTCTTCATATTATCATTAGTTGTAGTAGTAGTAGTAGTAGTTGGTATTCTAGTGACAGCATTATTCGATGAAGAAATATTCTCAAAATTATCAGAACAAGTCAATTGATTTTCTACAGGTGAACATATATGCTCATTACTTGTCATTTCCTTGTCATTATCATTATTAGGGATATTTGTATTTTCTGTAGAATTGTTATTCAATGCAGACCATTTGTTATCACAATTAATGAATGCTGCTGATTCCTCTTTTGTATTCAAGGAAAGCCAATTTGTGATTACAGGGAATGGCATTGTTGACTCAGGTATGGATTGACTTGTCATCTTACTACTACAACTACTATTGATTTCTATTTGTTCTTCTTTGAATTTAATAGGATTGTGACTGTCGTTTAGTGAATTTGTCATTGGTGTTGTTAAACTCGTTGTTGTACATGTAGTCAGTGTAGGAAGTGTATTTACATTTGTTATCAGGATATTATTGTTTGTTGTTGTGCAGGATGTTACACAACTAGTTGTCATATTAACAAAGGAGCTATTCCTGAACAATATACTAGCACTTTCTAAATCTGAATCAGTGGAATTCGATTGATGACTAGTCTCTGAATATCCTGAGTGCTGTTGTTGCTGTTGTTGTTGTTGGTGGTGTTGGTGTTGGTGACTTAACAACAATCCTTGGATTAACTGTTGAGGTGGTTGGTGTTCTTCTTGAGGTTGGTGATGTTGTGGTCTCTGTTGTTGATGATGTAACAACTGTGAATTATTGTTACATGTATACAAAAAACTTGTGTCTAATGGATATAAATGATCATACAACTTTGGAGAGGAGTTCATGACTTGATGTTGAAAATTTGGATGTGAATGTGGAGGATGGCTGTCGGAATGATAAAGTTGTGTAGAAGTCGGTGAAAGGGAATTGTTCACTTGTTCTCTATGTTGACTATTATTATGATTATTGTGATAGGCATTTCTTGTCATATCAAAAGTCTTCTGAGATTCTATAAGGAAATCATTTGCTTGAAACAAGTTTTGTGTAGTATACTCATTCATCTGACGTTGAGTTGATTGATGTAGACTATGCGTTGGTTGGTGCTCCTGGTGAGACTGTTCATTAAGATATGAGCTATTACTAATACCATTATTATTATTATTATTGATTACATTGTGCAACTCAAACGGTCGATTTAATTGTAACAATTCTGATTTCACTTTTAAATTATCTAAACTTTGTTGTGCATTGTTATCGGATATTGTGATCGGTGAAGGCGGTGTCATCTGTTGAATAGTTGGCAATGCAGCTCCAAAATTCAGTGAGGAATATGCACGAGAAATTGGTGAGTATGATTCATTTGTATAACTAGATGTTAAATAAGCTGAGGTAGATAATGATTTCTTATAATTATCATTATTATTATTATTACTATTATTGCTATTGATATCAGGCATTTCATTTACTAAATGTTCCCATATATTTTGTTCATTTCTGAAGTGTGATGAAGGGTGTTCAGACTGTTGTTGTTGTTGCTGCTGCTGTATTGTTTGCTGAAAATCATTAAACATCTGAGTGTTACGCTGAAATTTAAATTCTCGATCAGCTGGACCACAGACAACAGCAGCTAATTGTGATATAAAATCTTGTGAAGTAGATGATCTTACCACATTAACACTACTATTATGTATATCAGTAGTTGTAGTAGTAATACTATTAAAATTTGGGAAATTATCAGCATTATATTCATTTCTTGAAGAATAATGACGTTTTCGACACGATGACTTACGAAATGATGAATGATCTGATGCTTCTAATGGACTTTCTCTACTCTTCTTCCTTATTTTATTTATAATATTTATACTACTTATAGTACTAGCTGAAGTATTATTAGTAGTATGTTTATGATCTTCACTTTGTCTATTCATTATAGAATAATAATTATCAGTATTTCTAGTAGAATGATTTAAATCACGTTTTATATAATCTGTAGAATTTGTTGTCAACTTGATATTATTTGTCAGGGAATGACAGGTACGCGTTTCATTCGTGTTCAATTGATTCACGCCATTATTATTATTATTGTTAATATGATTATTATTATTATTATTATTAGTGTTAGTAATCATTGTATCACTTGAATTTGAATGTGTATCAAAATCGGCTGGATTCAGCGCTTCATTCGGTGATAAATAATGTACACGTAAATGTTTACGCAGTGAACTAGGATGTGTATAACTTTTATCACAACCTTTAAATCGACAAAAATATGGTTTATCATTCATATGGACATGCATATGCTTTTTACGATCTGAACTATTAGCAAAACGACGATCACATCCTTCAAATTCACAGACAAATGGTTTTTCACCTGAAAAACAAGCAGATAAAAACATTTAATTATATATATATATATATATATATATATGCACAAAAATTGTGACAAGCGGAGTGACTACTGAAAAGAAATAATTTATGCGACTGAAGAAATTAGTACAGTACAATTTGATTGGACACTAGTGTTACTAGTGTGATGTGTGTCTATTCCTATCTTTGGTGTAGACTGAATTCTATCTGTCAGGTTTGCAGTGTGGTCACCATACCACTAGGTAGCTCGCCATCACAGTGCACATTGACTTGATAATATCAGATGGTCGGAGACAATCAGCAGGAAGTCCAGTCTGACCTAGGTCTCGTGATAGTTGGCACTCACCAGTTAGCAAGGCGTATCTGCAACCTCGAAGGAACTCATACCCCTACTGAGACTCTGATCCGCGTCACCCTGATAGAATTTATTATGCACTGAAGACAGAACTAGACACACACATTACACTACTTACTGACTAGTGTCCAACCAAAAACATCCACTACACTCCTACAGGAGGTCAATTGCTAGCCCGAATAGCTCAGTGACGACGTCTTCAAATGCAGTACTCACTGTGTGACGCGGGTTCGAATCTCAAAATAGGCATGAGTTCCTTCAAGGCTGAAGATACGCCTTGCTGACTGGTGAGTGCCAACTAGCACGAAACCTAGGCCAGACTGGGCTTCCTGTGACCGATTGCCTCCAACCGTATAATAATAAAGGTTACTTATCTTGTATATATATATATATATATATATATATATATATATATATATATATATATATGTTCTTTATTCGCTATAGATCGCCTTGTTGAGACTGTTTGTTGTTCAGGCTAAAGTAGACCAGGATTCAGAACTCAATGATGGACAATTCAGGTCATTCATTAAACTTTTATATTACGTATTTTGACTCCTTAAAATTACTTCGTGGATGATCTACATCATGACAGCTATTATTTCACTGTGTCTTACCACTGTTGAGGCTGGCTTAACTGATTATCTATAACCACTGACTTATTTCTTTAATTGGATTTGATCTTTAGATACTCCTAGGTGTTTGACGACTAACATAATCTATAAAGATGAATTGCCTAACAACACCCTTTCACAGAAACTCAAGTTCTATTTGTTAAACATAATTATTTAAATTAACACCAGTATTTTTCAATTTTGATTTTCAGGGACTTGATTAAATTCAGCTTAGAACCCAAAATGACATCAGTTCAAGTGATCAATGACTGACTACAAGATGTAGTACCTAGAGTCCTAGTAACAAGTCGCTACTAGTGTGTGGTCTATCAAAATTGAGTGTGATCATAAATACTCGCATATGACATTGATTGGCGGTGATGGTTAGGATGTGTGTTACACATACACGCCTAGCCATCTCCTTCCTCGACCAGCAATGTAAGCTGACTGACACAGGATCAGGCTGGAAAAGAGCTAGTGGTGATCAAATCAAAACATGGCCTCAGCCAGTCAATGAAATCCACAACAGCCAGTTTAAGCCGTATAGTGGGGCGTAAACTGCGTGGCTAGTTGGGATCCTCAGGATGCAAAGAACCAATGGCTGGAGATGATATGGCTCAAAATCGTTCTGGATGATGGCGCAGATGCATTCGTGACTTATCATATCCAATAAAATTCTGTTTTTCTTCCATGTTACTATTCATTTTACCTCATATTTCCGTTTATTATCACTGTTTTGAATATCTCTTTACTTTCTGCGCTACATGGTGGGAGTGTGGCAGCTTTAACTGCTGCACATGTGTGCAAAGTTCTACGTTGAAACCAGTCTGTCAATTGGCTGGCGGTGGAGCTTTATTTCAGCACTTTACATGGAGTAATGGGTTCTGTCCCAGTGGTTGCAATGATCAGCGAATTTCCCTCAAGACATGAAGGTCCTAGGTTCAATCCATAGTTTTGGGATCATGGATAAGTACTTTTGGTAATCACAAACTGAACTGCAATAGCTATCCAGTAGTTCGATGGTTTTCAACAATTTTTTATTCAATCTACGATTGACTTTGTGTCAACACTGTGCGTTAATTTAAAATCAAACTGTTAATTAACAAAAGCTTTTTTTTCTAGAAAAAGTGGTCTTTAAAATTATTACTGTAAATAACTGAAGTACTTCTTTCAGAATAAAGACTTCCTCCTTTTTAAGAAGTCATGAAACTAGAGGAGAAAATGGCGTGAAAAAAAGGTAGTATAGAAGATTTTGAGGTTTTGTTTTATGCTGTAGAAGAATTATTTAAAACAGTCGTCACATGACAGTATAAAATGTATTAATGGACAATCTTTGTACTATAAGTCGATGCAAAAAAAAGATCAGTTAGGCGGGCCTCTTTTTTATTCTCTCATCTATGAACTACTTAAATACAACTGATGTTACTATCTATGTTCATGAAATGGAACACTTTACACTTTTTTTCTGCAATGGAAACAAGTATCAGATAATATCTTAAAACTATTGATGTAATATGATGCTGCTTAATTTGAAAAAGACGATAAGTGAGTTTTTTTCATGGATTCATACTAAGCAACAGGTGTGCATTGGCGAAGGCCTTCGACAACATTGACCAAGAAGTAATTTGGAAACTACTTCAACACTACACCGTGCAGTGCCTAAGTCTTTATCAACCTCATTCAACAGCTGACTATATAACAACGCCTGCCAAATGTAAGGTGATCCACAACGGGAAACTCAGCAAGACTTTTGAAGGGAATACAGAAGTAAGACAAGGCCTCTGTATTATCATTGATGATATTTTTAATTGTGGTGGACCAGATTATGCGTCAGACTGTGGGGAGGGAGGAGTCAGGGATACGCTGAACGACCAATAGGAAGACTCTAGAAAATATGGATTTCGCAGGTGATATATGCCTGATGTCACACAAACTTGAAGACTTTCAGGTGGAAACCAACAAACTGGCTGGCGAGGCTGGCAGGCAGCGAAGACAGGACTGCAGGTGAACATCGAAAAGGTGCAGACTGAGGTGATGAAGACAAACAACGAACTGCATCAACAATACCAACCACCAGCACCAATCACCATCAAAGGCAGAGATCTGAATGAGTTCACCTCCTTCACTTATCTTGGAAGCATCGTTTCAACTACATGCGTAACAGATGGAGATGTCAACGCCACCCAGAATCGGAGAAGTAAGATATGCCTTCATCAGTCTGAAACCAGTTTGGTAATCTGATGCACTCCGCCTCAGCATAAATAACAAGATTCAGATTTTCAACAGCAATGTCAAGCCGGTCTTTCTAAACAGGTCAGAAACTTGCACTGCGTGTATTTCACGAAAAGGATTTCCAACAGACTGCAGGCTATCATCATCAGCTACTCCCTTCGCTCTACACTGAAGGTCAAATGGTCTGATGGCCAGAAAGAATTACCAACAAGAAACTGTGGGAACAAATTAACCAAGAACCGATTGCCCAACAAATTTGAAGGAGAAAATGGAGATGGATAGGGCATACATTGGGAGGCCGTCAAATGGCAATCGCGCGCAATTCAGGCCATCGCCCGAGTGGAATCCAAATAAGAAGTGATGAATGAGTCGTCAGTGCGAGGGTGACATAGAGAAGATCGTGTGAGGAAGCGATGAGAGGTATTAGACAATCTTGGATCCAGCTAAAGAGGATGACAGAAAATAGATTAAAGTGAAGATGTGTTGTTGAAGCCCTATGTTCCACTCGGAACCTAAGGGAACAATAATAATAATGTGCATTGCCGGTTCATTGAAAGAACACTAGCTAAGCAAATCCAAAGTCTAGGGTCAGTTTCCCATCGATGTACTCGTAAACTTCGTGTATCCGATTGTAAGTCTGATAATAAAGGGAAAAGGTTTGAGATGTGAGACTAGCAGTGCCACTCCGCCAAAAACAACACCAGTGCTACTCAGATCATAAACTATGAAGCACTATGTTCCACTAGGAATGTAGGGGATGGGGAAAAAATGAAAGCGCATTACTCAACAGAAATTTAAGGCAAACTATATTCGTAAGTCAAGTGAATTAATCTACTCATTGTGTTCTAAAGATTATGTTTTTAAGGCGATATACCTGATGATGATGATGATGGTTATCACGAAATGATTTAATGTAGACAACCACAGGAAATTCTCGAGCATTTTATTTGAGTAGAACAGTCTAGACTGTAGCAGACACTCGTGACTCATTCCAAAACTGATTTTTAACCGCTTCTGAATCAATCAAGTAATCTATATTATTTAATTCAACATGTCAACAAGTCAACCTGAGACCGAGCACTTCGTCCAATCAATTTCAAATTCAATGAAATAACCAATATAACCCGTTGCACAAGAGGTGGCTCACGTGGCCCAAGTGGTCTAGTGGATAACGCGTTGGCATTTAAAACTATGGACACTGGTTTCGAGCCTCATTGGGAACATCATCACTCAGCTCGGAATGCAGACACATCCAGCAGACCACGAGTCCCGAATAGGACGGAATGCGTGTTGTTCTGGATTCCACTGCTAGTCACTATCCACCAATTAAACAAGTGATCTACAGATTTGTAGACGAATTATTCAATCACCAGTTGTATGAGCTGATTTCAGAAATGGCTATTTTTACCCACCGTCATCATCATCATCATAATCCTGTTTAACTCTATGACTCAAATGTGCTTTTCAGCTTGACTCCTGCAATATCGCTTCTTCATGGAGTCATTTTCACACTACTGTCTAGAAGTAACAAAATCAATATGATGATATTCACCTCTGAAATTATATCCTTGACTTATTGAATTTTAATTTATCCTTGAACATCTCAAGAGTCAATGATAGTTTTATGTGAATACCACTTAATAGTGAATAATTTTCAAACGCCAATAAACAATTCACCTAATAAAATTGATATTAGACATTTGAGTATGTGATAATTCGTTTCGATTCATCTTTGCCTCCCTTTCTACCTATCTAACACTGCATAAGTCAACTTATTTTTATGTAAGAGAAGATGTAGAATGG